CTCCTCCTCCTCTTCTTCTTCCTCTTCCTCTTCCTCTTCTTCTTCTTCCCTTAAAGGAACTCAGATGTCAGCTAAACCAGTTCTAAAACTGATTTCTACTCATTATGTGTGTGCTCTAAAAAGCATATTTCTGTGGTATTTTTATATTTAAAATGTTATCAGTTTTATGAGTTGAATTTCATTACTTCATCCAAAGAATCCTGGCCAATTTGGGGAAGGTGCCGAGAATTCAGTTAAGACTCTCCTGATAAAAGTATAGTTCCCAAATTTTCCCATGGAGAGGAAATGACTGTGACCACTGTGAACTCCTTGGAAGAAGGACAAATTAAAAATGTAGTTGATAGACGGGGTGGTATCCTACCTGAGGCTGGATACCATTTCTCCACTTCAAGGAGCCTTTTTCCAACTTGTGGGTCTTCCTTTGGAGCAAGAGCCACTTAAGTTGGAGAAAGTCTCCCTAAACTGTAGGAAGACTTCAAATATTCCTGAGTCAAGTGGCTGGATATAGACCATTGGATATAGGCTGGATATACAAATCACTTATCCCCCCCCCCCATCCACCACCCCATACAGCATAGATACAAATAGGATTTTGTCTTGTTTTCAATACAGATCCTCTTTCTCCACAACACTATCCTTTGCTTGACCTATGCTGTTGTCAAATGTTCCTTATTTGAAGAACATCCCCATTTTAAGAGTACAGAACATACACCAGAAGATGGACTTTACATCCTCAGGCATTTCTGAAGTAAAACTCCAAGCTCTAGCCTGTACAGAAGAGCCACCTTTTAGCCTGGAAACTCTGCTTCTCTAAGCCCAGACATCAGTCATCAGACAAACTGCGATTACTCCGTGGTTAAGAAAATAAACATTCCCAAGGCAATATAATCCCAAGGAGTCATTTCTGTAGAGTCATTATTGAGCTACATAGAGTATTTCGTCCTCTTTGGCAAAAGGTAGCCTCTCTATCCAGATATTTAGATTGGCACTTAATTCCATGGATTAACTTTCATACATCTGCAATACTAAGGGAGAGGGGATTACTCTAAGAAAACAGAAATCTGCTCTCAATCCAGTTCCAAAGAAAGACAGGCAAAAACTGCTCTAAATCAATCCAACAGGCAACCCAACAGTGACAGAGTTGAAATTCAGACTTGCAATCCTAGGCCCTGGTCACATGGAGAATCTGCCGTGCAGAAAGCACGAATGTCGGGCAGATTTTCGGGACGCGATCACACTGCAACATCTGGGAAATGTAGCGCACCCATGGCCAACCTGTGGCATCCCACCAAAGATACGGAGTTAAAAAGGACCAAATATCCGGAAAACACGCAGCACAGGCAGGTGTCTGATCGCGGGAGCGCTAGTATCCCATGGCGTCCACGTCCCATCGCAAACTGGATGTTTTTCATAAGCGCATGCGCACAAACACAAAACTGAAAGCAGTGCTGCTCTGCGGAACTGCATATGCACACAAACGCAAAACGCTTGTGTGATCACGCCGAGCCGCTTCTTTGCCATGCTGCAGCATTGCCGTGTAATCGCCAGCTAACAGCCGAAGCATGGAGACTTGGAGGACCATGTGATCGGACTACCGCACTTTATTTTGCTCTGGGGTGAACAGCCACGCCTCCCCCTAACCCCTGCGTTATCTGGCCCGTGTGACCGGGGCCCTAGTTTGTTTGTTTCTTCATGACCCATTGCTCTGAACCCCCAAAGACAGGGTGAATCCCCTTTATCCTCTTTCATTCTCATAAAAGTCATTACTTGCTAGAAAAGAGTTTCTGGTATTGCATAATAACTTTACAATCCTTATAGCCAGTTTTGTGTTGTTATTTTATGCCATCATTCATAATATTACGAAATAACCCTACTTTGCAATTGATAACTTCCCATACAGACACAGTAACTTGAATCTACTCCCCACTCTGTGCACCACTGTCCTAATGATATGCTTACATGAAATTCATGGCAAAATGTATTCATCCTGTGGCTTCATACATAGTTCAGCACATGGAGAAAGTCTCTGAATGTTTCCTGTGGTAACAAAACAGCCACCACTGGCTTGTGACTCCATCGCACACTGCTTCACTAATAAAGGGATAATGTAACATGGGCAAGATTATGTGGAAAGAACTCTGGCCAAGAATTCCTCCTTCTCTTAGTCTGGTCTTTAATACTGGCATGGTTTTTCAATTCCTCCCACATAGTTTCTGAATTTTTATGTTACCAAAACAGCATGGGATGGAGCCACTAGGGAGCATCAACTGCATCACACACACAACAAAGGAATTAGTGGCAATTTAAAGGTCACCCCCATTTACAACACACACACAGAGTGTTCAACCAACTTCACAGCAGCTTTCAGCAGTCATGGTGAATGTGCTTTACAAAGATTTATCTCAGCAGAATACATTAAGAATATATGAAGGCTGTGATAGCCACAGATGATATTTCAAAGAGACATCCAAGAAAAAAGAAAGGAAGTGTAAAGTTGTATACAGCGTTTTACCTAAATTGGAGAGCTGTTTTGTCCAGAAAGATGGGTCCCATGTGAATCTCACCTTCCAAGGAGAACTCGTATCTGCATTACAGTTTGTTTCCAGTAAACGCTGGATCTGAAACACAATCTGGTAACAAATCAAGGGAGGAGTAATGCAATTAGTAATGACTATAGATGAATATACTATAACAATCAGCATGATATTTTAGAGCTGATTGTGGTCATTAAAATTTTTAGCAAGGCTTTGGGCGATTTCTCACCCAATCTCACCCTCGCAGCACAGCACCGTTTGCCTCAACACAAACATGTCAATTTCACACCCCAAGCTCCGGGGCTGCATTTTGACTCGGGGCTTCGCCCGATTTCCTCCGCAGTTTCGTGATCCTGGTTTTTGAGGATCATGAAACTGCAGAGGAAATCGGGCGAAGCCCCGAGTCAAATGCAGCCCCGCAGCCTTGGGTGTGAAATTGACATGTCTGTGTTGGGGAAAACGGCGCTGTGCTGCGAGGCAGCTCTAGTGAGAAATCGCCCTTTGTTTCGGTCAGTTATCATTAAATGAGAACTCTCTGATTCACTTACATTTGGGGGATTTGCTTACACGCTGAAGGGAGAATTGCATGCTAATATGAACTAAAACACAGGGAAGTGGTACCAAGGGCTCCTGAGCCAGTTCTCCATCACCTTGGAAAAAATTATATTGCATTTCCACAATGCAGGGTTTTTGTGTCTTTGTGGAAAAAACAGTTGACTAGAGAAACACAGTGACCTGTAAATACCTGAGTTAGAAAACAAAGATATACACTGAAACACCCTCAAAGCTGTTTGTGTAGATGGAGGTGGTTGATTTTGTGCAATGAGGCTGAGATAAGAAATCCCTAATTGTGTAAACAAGTCCTTAGATGGCTTGACCAATCTCCCAACCCATAATCCCAGATAGTACTCAAATATGAGGGTTTTTTAATCAGTAAAATACCTTGTACAGACCAAATTATGAGGGAACAGTCATGGGCTCCCTCATGGCTATTTTTGGGCAGGAACGCACAGGAACGGAGTTCCGGCTGACTTCAGAGTTGGCCACGCCTACCAGCCAAAACATCTACATGTGTGGATACAGAGGGAATGCCTGGAGAGCGACCCCCCCTGGCTACTCCAAGGGCTGGCTTGTCCGGGGTTCCCCGAAGCGGGCGCCCAGACAAGCCAAGGGAATAAACTGCCTTCCCTTCAAGGGGGGGCTTGCCCGGGCTCCCTGCAGCCGTGGGGCACCCGGGCAAGCCAAGAGAAGGCATGGGGTGTGGCCTAATATGCTAATGAGCTGCACTGTCAGGGTGTGACCTAATATGCTAATGCATTTCTTGCTTTGGGTGTGGCCTATTATGCTAATAAGTTCCTCTTGGGCTTTTTCTACAAAAAAAAGCCCTGGGCTCCCTCTTCCACATCAAGCTGATCTTAAATATCATTCGTGCTACAAAGATGCTAAGGTCTGCACTACACAGAGCTGCTGTAGAGGATCACATATACTTCTGCTAGGCCAGTTTACCGTTTCTGCAGCCCAAACATGCACCGTTTGAATTTCTATTAATTTCATTATTTAAAACAAACAAAAAATGTAGCATATTGAAGACGAAGAGATTTATTATGGCACACACCTTTATGAATAATTGCCTTAAACTTCATGCACGAACATATGATATACAGGCTTGGGCCCTGTTCCTTGTTTCTACTTGCACAATGCTATTCTCTATTGGAAAGGAAGTTTTCCACATTCCTCAACACTAAGTTCTTCCGCTCAGTGCAGACCATGGTCTCTCAGCAAGCAGAAGGTGCTTAGCATCAGCCAGTTCTCTGGAACTGAGAACCATTCTCCACCGCAGAGGACAGACTTGCACAAGCAGAAGCCAGGTACTATGAACAGACTTGCACAAGCAGAAGCCAGGTACAAGGATTCAAGCCATGTATGTAAGGCAGATGTTATCATAGTTGTCTTCTGTTCACAGAGATGACTAGTGCATCTAATGAAAGTTCATGCTGGAATAGATGTTCAGTTTTTAAGGTGCCATTAGATTCCGGCTTTATTATAAATAAATTCAAAAAGGTTGAGAACCACTGAAGTGGCACCCACTTCTAAATTTCCTATACTTCTTTTTAACCTGCTTGTAAAGAAACTTGTAAAGAGCTGCGGTGGCTCAAGTGGTTAAGACGCTGAACTGCGGGCTGTGGAAGGTCGGTAGTTCCGCAGTTCGAGACCCGAGTGTGCCGCATGACAGAGTGAGCTCCCATCTCTAGTTCCAGCTCCTGCCAACCTAGCAGTTCGAAAGCAAGAAATTGCAAGTAGATAAATAGGTACCACTTCAGTGGGAAGGTAACAGCGTTCCGTGCGCCTTGGTGCCGGCCACATGACCATGGAAACGTCTTTGGACAGCGCTGGCTCTTCGGCTTTGAAACGGAGATGAGCATCGCAACCCTAGAGTCGGATTCGACTGGCTTTCGAGCAAGGGAACCTTTACCTTTAAAGAAACTCCATGCTGCTTTTCCTTTCCCCATCAAAGGCAGGGCTCTGCTAACTCACAAAACAGGTTTATGTTTTATTTTTCATGTTTAGTATTTATAAATATAAAATATTTCTGAACAACAAACTGTAGGTTGGATCCACTTCCAGAGTGTGATCCCCCCCCCCCGTAGGAACCCAGAAGGATGCCTGTTCTTGCCCCAGTTCCTGTATTCCTGCATTTCATGTTCCAGCAATAGGGAAATGTGAGAAAATCACACTCTGAACCCAGAAGTCCTTGTACCCTTGGGAATGCTAGTCAGGATCCAAGCCTCTATTTCATGGCCATTTCATACACTATGCAGAGGCAGACCCAAATTGGCCAGCAACCCTCTCTGAATCTCCTCTCATAAGTCACCCTGTTCAATCTCCTCCATCCTGGCTTCATGAGTGTCAGCAAGCTGCCAATGTGTTTTCCTATTCTCTGGGGTTTCGCTTATCTATTATCTATGTATGCGCTTGTCTGCTTTCACTTTCCCATGTATGCCAGTTGAAGCGCTTAATTGCCTAGTTGCAGGAACGTCCGTATCTCTCAAGGCCGCAGGTGGTTGCTGGCGAATAGTAGCTTGGGTGATCTCATGGTACTATCCATGAGAAGCAAACATGTTATGATTATCTAGGAGCGTTGCTTCCCAGGCTCAATGGCGCGCGGGGGAAATCCCGCAATTGGGCCTCAGCTTTTTGAATTTACTATAATCTATTGTGTGCCATGCTTTTGCCTCATTCTGAACAGTGATCCTGTTATGCACCTATTGCTTCAAATAAAGTAAAACCTTTTCTACAAGCGTGTACTTCATTGATGTGATGGGAGTCTGACATTGAGCCTCTTGCAAAAGAATCATGACCTGCCTTGGAGTTCCAGTCCACAGTTTCGAAAACCCACTGAATAAATTAATGCGCTGGGTCTTCCCTCTGAACTACTGGCCCCTCATCCATTTGCATTACAGATAAAAACAGTTGTGGGACCAGTAGGTGGCCTACATGAAGTGACTGGCACTATCGGCATGAAAGAAATCAATTTGATGTTCCTTGTGCTTCCAGGTCAGCACTAAATCAGCACTGGATACAAGAGACCCTTTCCTGCAAAAGTTAAGGTTCCTTTAAGATGCTTTCAGAAGAATAATTTTGTAGTCAACCCACACAGTGATTCAGCATGGTGAACACCTTCAATCCACACAAGAACTCTTCCCATACCCTTAGTCAGGGTTCATTTCCTGCAGGAGCCCACAGGAGCGGAGCTCCGGCAGTAAAGAGCCCAGGAGGCAGGCACAAGCAACAAGCCCCACCCACTGCTCCCAGCAGCCCCTGGCCATGAGGAACAAGAAGCAGCCAGGTAAGTTGCAGAACTCCATCCCGGCCCCCCCGGTCCAAAACAGTCCAGTGGCACCTTTAAGACCAAGTTTTATTCGGGTACAAGCTCTCCCCCCTCTGTGAAAGCAGATCTGCACGTCCCCCCCCCCAACAGCTAGCAATCCAAAACAGTCCAGTGGAACCTGAGCAGTGGGTGTTGCCTTCTGACACACTTCTGGTGATGTCAGGGGGTGTGGCATATGCAAATAAGTTATGCTAATGATGAGTTATGCTAATGAGCTCCTGCACCTCTTTTTCTACGAAATGACCCCTGCCCTTAGTGACCCACTCTGTTAGTTCCAACGAAATAACAGGATAAGCATGGTTGGCTTAGCAAACCATCACATTAAAATGTCAATAAGGAAGACTAAGCCCTTCTGTTTATTGCCTTTTTTTCAGAGGTACTTTCCCTCTCACTTTGATTTGGCTTTTGAGGGAGTGAGGCTTACAGGCCATCTTAAAGCCCGGGACAATGCAGAAGTAGTTGATGAATCTGCCCCACTTCTTTCTGAGGAGACTAATTTTTCTTCATTCCCTTCCTTTTTTAAATGTCTTGTTATTTTATTCTTACCAGTTCTTTACTGAAGAGGAATGGAACACTGTTTTTACTGCACACTGCCCAGCTGAGGAAGTTCTGCACATGTTCAAATTGCCTGTTTAATACCATGATGCCCTGAAGTTGTTGTTCCAGTTTCTGCTTCCTTTCACTGGTTATTCTCTGTCAAGAATTGGGAACAGAAAGATTTGATATAAATTACACCATATATTCAGAATGAATCATGAAAAGGTCCACTCTATGGAAAAAGAAGGAGGAGGAGGAGGAGGAGGAGGAGGAGATCAGAGCGGCTTACAAACTCCTTTCCCTTCCCCTCCCCACAACAGACACCCTGTGAGGTAGAAGAAGAAGAAGAGGAGATTGGATTTATACCCCGCCCTTCACTACCCGAAGGAGTCTCAGAGCGGCTTACAAACTCCTTTCCCTTCCCCTCCCCACAACAGACACCCTGTGAGGTAGAAGAAGAAGAAGAGGAGATTGGATTTATACCCCGCCCTTCACTACCCGAAGGAGTCTCAGAGCGGCTTACAAACTCCTTTCCCTTCCCCTCCCCACAACAGACACCCTGTGAGGTAGAAGAAGAAGAAGAGGAGATTGGATTTATACCCCGCCCTTCACTACCCGAAGGAGTCTCAGAGCGGCTTACAAACTCCTTTCCCTTCCCCTCCCCACAACAGACACCCTGTGAGGTAGAAGAAGAAGAAGAGGAGATTGGATTTATACCCCGCCCTTCACTACCCGAAGGAGTCTCAGAGCGGCTTACAAACTCCTTTCCCTTCCCCTCCCCACAACAGACACCCTGTGAGGTAGAAGAAGAAGAAGAGGAGATTGGATTTATACCCCGCCCTTCACTACCCGAAGGAGTCTCAGAGCGGCTTACAAACTCCTTTCCCTTCCCCTCCCCACAACAGACACCCTGTGAGGTAGAAGAAGAAGAAGAGATTGGATTTATACCCCGCCCTTCACTACCCGAAGGAGTCTCAGAGCAGCTTACAAACTCCTTTCCCTTCCCCTCCCCACAACAGACACCCTGTCAGAACTACGGCTTGCCCAAGGTCATCCAGCCAGGTGCAAGTGGAGGAGTGGGGAATCAAACCCGGTTCCCCCAGATTAGAGTCTGCACACTTAACCACTACACCAAACTGGCTCTCAGAGTCTCAGAGCTGCTTACAAACTCCTTTCCCTTCCCCTCCCCACAACAGACACCCTGTGAGGTAGGTGGAGCTGAGAGAGCTCTTGACAGAAACTGTTCTTTTCCTAGAACAGCTGTGGCATAACTATGGCTTGCCCAAGGTCATCCAGCAGGTGCGAGTGGAGGAGTGGGGAATCAAACCCGGTTCTCCCAGATTAGAGTCTGCACCTAACCACTACACCAAACTGGCAGAGAGGTAAAGCAGAAAGTGAAAGCAGAAAATTAACAGAGAAGAATCTTCTTGTATAGCAAAATCTTCTGTACTCAGTAGCAGCCTTGATAACTTTCACTGTAGGGTTGCCAACCTCCAGGTAGGGCCTGGAGACCTCCCGCTTTTACAACGGATCTGCAGCTGACAGAGATCAGTTCCCCTGGAGGAAATGGCTGCTTTGAAGGGTGGACTCTATGGCACTGCACCATTCTTGAGGCCCCTCCCCTCCCCCAACCCCGCCCCCTCCCCTCCCCACCCCCAAAGTCTCCAAGGATTTTCCAACCCAGACCTGGCAACCCTATTTCACTGGGATTCACAGAAACACTACTGAGAACACATAAAATAAATATTATATTGAGACCATAGATAACCTTTATAACTTGGCAACCCAGAGAAGGAAGAGAGTTGGACTCCAGGCATCTTCTCCACTTTCTCTAGACTAGGAGCTGCCTTCTGTGTGGACCTGGAGTGGACCTCTTTCTTGGCCACCATCATTAGCATCATGGTGCTTCTCAGCTGCTACAGGCACAAAACTCTGCAAGAAGCCTGTGGTAGCTGTTTCTTCTATGACTATTGCCAGAAACACCTAGACCTCCCACCCCACGCACCACTGGACGCCGAGTTCACCAAATAATTATTATAAATGCTCTGGTTGATCGACTGTGTTTTATGTGAACATAGCATGATTCGTTTCAGCTGCTGCTTACCTCTAGCTGTTCAAGGAGGACGTTTGTTCGCTTATTTATTTCGCTGATCAGGACCATCTTTGCCATTTTTATCTGATTTTCCACTTTCCTCTGTAAGTGTTTGACTTCAAACAGCCTGTAGAGATGAAGCCATTACCACATTTATTAAACAGACCCATGTATAAAAATCTCTGAACGATGTCCTTGAGTTTTGAGAGGTAAAAAGTTACCGATACATTTGATAGATTCTACCATAATACTGTATACAGCTTGTATCTTCCAGAGCGTTGGTTGCGAAGCTAATACTTGGTTTTAAGCCTGAGAGGCTCTTTTTGTAGCAGGAACTCCTTTGCATATTAGGCGACACACCCCTAATGTAGCCAATCCTCCAAGAGTAGCCCCTGTAAGAAGAGCTCTGTAAGCTCTTGGAGGATTGGCTACATTAGGGGTGTGTCGCCTAATATGCAAAGGAGTTCCTGCTACAAAAAAAGCCTTGCTGAGAGCACTGCTGGGATCTTAAATAATATGCTTCAGAGGTTAACCTTAGGGCTTTCCTTAACCAATGCACGAGATGTTTGCTGAGCGCAGGTGCCAAACCTTAGTATTGCCTTAATTTTATTTGGGGGGGGGTTGCTAATTTTTTGGGGAAAGTAGCAGGGGTCATTTCCTGCAAGAGTGCACAGGAGCGGAGCCCGCCCCCTGCTTCCGGCCGCCCCGCTTCCAGCCCTCATTCAGCCAGGAGGAGGCAGGAGAAGAGGGAGGGTAAGTTGCTTCCTCCCCGCCTCTCCCCACCCCTGCCTGCCTGGGGCCAGGGAGGGCCTTGGCGGGGCTTCCTCGCACTCCCGCTGGCCTTGCAGGTCCACCGCCAGGCCCCTGATGTCAGGGGGTGTGGCATATGCTAATGAGTTATGCTAATGAGTTCCCCTAGCTCTTTTTCTACGAAATGACCCCTGATCCCCCCCCTCCAATAGCTAGCAATCCAAAAGAGTCCAGTGGAGCCTGAGCAGTGAGTGTTGCCTTCTGACACACTTCCAGTGACGTCAGGGCGTGTGGCCGATGCAAAAAAGTTATTCTAATGAGTTATGCTAATGAGCTCCTGCACCTCTTTTTCTATGAAATGACCCCTGGAAAGTATCTATTAATGTTAACTAGTGGACTTCCAATAGTTTATAGCAAAACCTTTTTTAAATACTTAGTTGTATACCAAGGTACTGGACAATAGCATTTTGTCATTAGGATCATAAGTACTTATTTTTGTAGCTGTAAAAACACAGCCTTTCCAACAGTCCATTAGCAATTCCTTATTAAGAATTAAAACTTGGGCCCCCTTAAGAAATTTGGAAATCCAGTCTCACCCTCCAAAATCTCCCTCTCAATCACCGTATGAGTGAACAGGGGGTTGAACGGGCTTGTTTACCCCCCCCTCCTCTTACCCATACCTTCTAGTGCATATTTTCAGCAAGCCATCTGAGATGTTTTCCTTTCCTCTAAATTGTAACTGGCAAGCAAACTGGTTACCTTCCTACCTGCTGCGGCAAATATGCTGCCTATGGATTTAGATGGTGGTTGGACAAGCTACTGCAGAAGTGACAGCCAAGGAAATGTTGCATTCCACAGAGGACTGGTTCTCAGCTGTCAGTCTGCCATCCAGTCTGGAAAAATGAGGATCACCCCTCCCTTCAGTGTTCCTATAAATTAGCAGCTGTTACTGGAGAGTAATGTCCCAATGGAAGAGACCCTGACCATAATCTACCTTCTTATGCAAATCTTGGTATCACCAAAGTTACCTGTCTTCAATCTGTTTGGCCGAGACCTGTGCCGCGCTTTTTTTCTCTTCCACTTTCGCTGTTACGTTTTCCAGGATGGCTCTCTGGTTTTGCAAGGCTTCGTGGAGGTGCCTGAACCTAGAGGAAGGAAAAGAAGCCTTTGGGTTGGGTCCCTTCTACTAAGTTGAATCTTATGTCTCTCTTCTGCTACATCGTAAGGGAGAAATGCCTTCTCCGATGGAGAAAGGATTGCTCTGATGGAGGAAGACCTGGTAGAAAGGCGTCATTGGATGCAAGCATTTGTGTGCGGGGTTTTCCTTTTCCCAGGGGTCATTTCCTGCAGGAGCGCACAGGAGCTGAGCTCCGGCAGTGAGCAAACTGGTTACCTTCCTACCTGCTGTGGCAAATATGCTGCCTATGGATTTAGATGGTGGTTGGACAAGCTACTGCAGAAGTGACAGCCAAGGAAATGTTGCATTCCACAGAGGACTGGTTCTCAGCTGTCAGTCTGCCATCCAGTCTGGAAAAATGAGGATCACCCCTCCCTTCAGTGTTCCTATAAATTAGCAGCTGTTACTGGAGAGTAATGTCCCAATGAAAGAGACCCTGACCATAATCTACCTTCTTATGCGAATCTTGGTATCACCAAAGTTACCTGTCTTCAATCTGTTTGGCCGAGACCTGTGCCGCGCTTTTTTTCTCTTCCACTTTCGCGGTTACGTTTTCCAAGATGGCTCTCTGGTTTTGCAAGGCTTCGTGGAGGTGCCTGAACCTAGAGGAAGGAAAAGAAGCCTTTGGGTTGGGTCCCTTCTACTAAGTTGAATCTTATGTCTCTCTTCTGCTACATCGTAAGGGAGAAATGCCTTCTCCGATGGAGAAAGGATTGCTCTGATGGAGGAAGACCTGGTAGAAAGGCGTCATTGGATGCAAGCATTTGTGTGCGGGGTTTTCCTTTTCCCAGGGGTCATTTCCTGCAGGAGCGCACAGGAGCTGAGCTCCGGCAGTGAAGAGCCCAGGGGGCGGGCACATGCAACAAGCCCCCCCTCCTGCTCCCAGCAGCCCCGGGCCACGGGGAGCACAAGGATCTGCATGTCGTTCCCCCCCCCCAATAGCTAGCAATCCAAACCAGTCCAGTGGAGCCTGAGCAGTGGGTGCTGCCTTCTGACACACTTCTGGTGATGTCAGGGGGTGTGGCATATGCAGATTAGTTATGCTAATGAGCTCTTGCACCTCTTTTTCTACGAAATGACCCCTGCCTTTTCCACAGACATTAATAAATAAGTTGTGGGGTAGCACTGAGGTCAAATTCCAAAGAAGCTACGCAGAAGGCTAGTTATATAATTTTTTTAAATTGTGAAAGACTGTAGTACAGTAAGGCTCATGCCTGGTATGCAGAAGGTCCCTTGTTCAATCTCTTAATCTCTTTTTAAGAATCTATATCACCAAGGCTGAGGAAACTCCTGAGGCATTAGAGAGCTGCTGCCAGTCTAATTAGACAGGTCTGGACTAAATGGATCGGTGGTCAACGATCTGACTGTAGAAGGCAGCCTCTGATGGCTTCAATTAGTGATGAAATGACAGCTCTCATTTGAACAGCTCTGTTGATGCTTTAAATTTTGATTATAAGTAAAGGCAGCGTTTCAGATCCAGTAGCTAACTGTAAGGACAGAAAGGCCTCGGCTGAGCTGCTCGTTTATTTCATGTCAGTCATCATTTAAAGTATCTTACATAGGTCAGGGTCTTCAGATGTGAAAACATCAGGATGTTTTCCCACTAACAAACTTGCTTTCAACAAAAATATATCTCAACAAAAATTCTGCACCCCTGTGGGTGAAATCAGCCTTTTTGGGGGGGGTTGGTTGTATCAGAGCAATTTAGGAGGAGGAGGAGGAGAGGAGATTGAATTTATACCCCGCTCTTCACTACCCAAGGGAGTCTCAGAGCAGTTTACAAACTCCTTTCCCTTCCCCTCCCCACAACATGACCTTGGGCAAGCCGTAGTTCTGATAAGACCTGTTCTTGAAAAAGAGCAGTTTCTGTCAGAGCTCTCTCAGCCCCACCTACCTCACAGGGTGTCTGTTGTGGGGAGGGGAAGGGAAAGGAGTTTGTAAGCCGCTCTGAGACTCCTCTGGGTAGTGAAGGGCAGGGTATAAATCCAATCTCTTCTTCATTTACCTCACAGGGTGTCTGTTGTGGGGAGGGGAAGGGTTTGTAAGCCGCTCTGAGACTCCTCTGGGTAGTGAAGGGCGGGGTATAAATCCAATCTCTTCTTCTTCTACCTCACAGGGTGTCTGTTGTGGGGAGGGGAAGGGAAAGGAGTTTGTAAGCCGCTCTGAGACTCCTCTGGGTAGTGAAGGGCAGGGTATAAATCCAATCTCTTCTTCTTCTTCTTTTACCTCACAGGGAGTCTGTTGTGGGGAGGGGAAGGGAAAGGAGTTTGTAAGCTGCTCTGAGACGCCTTTGGGTAGTGAAGGGCGGGGTATAAATCCAATCTCTTCTTCTTCTTTTACCTCACAGGGTGTCTGTTGTGGGGAGGGGAAGGGAAAGGAGTTTGTAAGCTGCTCTGAGACGCCTTTGGGTAGTGAAGGGCAGGGTATAAATCCAATCTCCTCCTCCTCCTCCTCTAAATTGGGGTCTATTAATGTTTCTGAAGGGCCCCCACACTCTCCCAGGCATACTTTCAGTCCCATTTGTGGCTTGTCTTATTTTGAAATGGTGGTCTTCGTTGTTCTCACAGCCTCCCCTGCCCCTGACCTGACCTTGATTCATAGAGATAAAGGAAGGGATGGAATTCTCACAGCCCAGCATTCCATCCTGTCTGTGGTTTTGCTTGCTCTGCCCAGCCTGGTTTTATTATGGGGTAAAGCTCACAACCTGAGTATTGACCGTTAGTAGGGAGGGTGACCCTATTTTGAAAAGCAAAAAAGAGGGCATATTTCCTAACTGACTACGTCAAAGAAGTTATCACTATGAGAAATCTCATTTTAAATATCCCTAATATTTAACCTGTGATTTTTTTATTGTTCAGTCGCACAGTCGAGTCCGACTCTCCATGACCCCATGGACCAGATCACACCAGGCCCTCCTGTCTTCCGCCGTCCTCTGAAGTTTGCTCAATTTAATGTCCGTTGCATCTATGACACTGTCTAACCATCTCATCCTTTGCCGTCCCTGTCTTCTTTGACCTTCAGTCTTTCCAAGCATCAGGGTCTTCTCCTGTAATAATTGCTACTAACTAGGAATATTCTTAACCTTCCAAACCAAAAGGAGGACAGTTTCATCAGTTTAAAAAAAACAAACCCAAAAGAGGATTGTGGTGTATTCGAAAAGACTTACATGAATCGCCGCATTAACTCTCCATGATAAGCTCAAGCCAGAGGAAGGCTCCTCTGAGCCAACTTGCTATTGGTCGCTCCACAACAGCGACCAATCAGAACCATACCAATTCCCTGCGAGGGAAGGACTTTCATTGGATGTTATCCGCACAACCTCATTGGTTGTTTATTGTAAATAGGCGTGGCTAAGTTAGCCCGGGAATGTTTAAAAGGAGCCTAGCTCCCAATGTTAAGTTGTTCTGGTTACGACTTCTTCCAAGCGCTTGTTCGTACCTACAATAAAGCTGATCACTTTTGTTGAAATCACTCTCTGGATCTCTGTTAGCGGCGATCTAACAAGGATGGATATCATAAAAGAGGACATGTCCTCTAAAAAGAGGTCATCTGGTAACCCTACCATTAGGAAGAGGAGGAGGAGGAGATTGGATTTATACCCCGCCCTTCAGTACACAAAGGTGTCTCAGAGCAGCTTACAAACTCTTTTCCCTTCCCCTCCCCACAACAGACACCCTGTGAGGTAGGTGGGGCTGAGAGCTCTGACAGAAACTGCTGTTTTTTTGAAGAACAGCTCTTATCAGAACTATGGCTTGCCCAAGGTCATCCAGCCAGGTGCAAGTGGAGGAGTGGGGAATCAAACCCGGTTCTCCCAAATTAGAGTCCGCGCACTTAACCACTACACCAAACTGGCTCCTTTCTTTCTTTTAATCCAAGGTTTTCTCTGGTCATTGGGGTTTCTTGGAAGGTTGCAGTTAGGGAAACAAAAGTCCCTGCTCTGCTGGAAGGCCACAGTAAAGCAGATCTCTTGATTGCTGAAGCCAGAATACATGCCGTTATGTTTTCATATTTGATGTGTGGATAGCTTAGGGAACATGCTGGTTTAAAAAAAAAATCCACCCAAAAGCTAACTTTGCCTTTCCTGATAGAATTAAATTGAACTGTGAATATTGACTACCTGTGTTCCTTGTGCTCTGTCAGAATGCAGCAGCGGCAAGCAAGGATGTCGCAGGTCTCACAAAACATCTTGAGTGACTCTTGACTGTGCACAGGACAAAACAAGGCAAAATCATTTGGTCCCCCTTCGCCACCTGAAAAGTAGGTTTAACATGTCATTACTTTTTAGGATTATAAATGATGTGATACTTGTTGATGATGAAAGAAAGCCTGTTGTTGTTGTTTTTGCTCCATCATACCTAATGGCAGGGGTGTCAAACATGTGGTCCACAGGCCAGATTCAGCCCCTACAGGGCTGGAATATGGCCCGCGAGCTCGTGCTTGCATCGCCAAAGCCTCTCTTCCTCCTTAGGGAAGCGAGGGGGAAGGAAAAGGAGAGTGCACGTGTGTGTAGCAGAGAATAACTCCCTCCTGCTTCCTTCTCTGGGGCTGCTGTTGCGATGCCTACACTTTCTTCCCTCATTTGGAGAGGAAGTCCAATGGCACCTTCAAGATCAACAAAATTTTATTCCAGGTGTAAGGTTTCTTGTGCATGCATTTGAGAGAGAGAGGGTGAGAGATTCTTCTGATAAGCCTGCTCTGCTGTTTACTGTGTGATCACACACACACTAATGTTAGAAAAGGAAGGGGAGCAGAAAAGAGATGCATCTGGAATAATGAGAATTAAGGGGAAATTATTTTCGCTTATTCTGAAAAGTTTTTGTTTTTTTTAAGATTAGGTTTCTCTTTGCCTATCTGGAATTTTCTTTCAAAAAGACCCTGGTTAGGAACTACAACAATTGGATTGGATTCCATGGTTTAATGACTGGAAGTAAGTATTTCAAAATACATTTATAGTTCCATATATTCCAGTTCTACACGTGGTCTCTCGCTCTCCCCTCCCACCTCATTGGCTGCCTTTCTTCACATTAACCCCACCCTTTTAAAACTTTTTATTAACATCACTAGCAGTGATTGGATTTTGTCCACTCTGAAAGCAACACATTATTTCACTTGGAGAGATCCCCCTTTCCAGATCTAACAGATAAAAAGATAATAATAAAAGAAGCCTAACAGCACCACTTGCAACCTTTATTAGTGGAAGAGAGCAAGAGTCCGGTAGCACCTTAACAACTAACAAAATTTGTGGCAGGGCATGCACTTTCATGAGTCACTGCTCTCTTCTTCAGATACAGCTAAAATGTGAGTCCATTTCTCCTTATATCTTGGGGAGTGAAGTGATTTCAGATGCCAAATAACAATCGCAGTCATTGGTAATGAGAGAAGAAACCTAGGTCTCAATTCAGCCCAGGAGGATGCATTGAGCTTCATTATCAGTTGCAGTTTATCAGTCTCTCTAATCTTCCTTTGAAATTAATTTGTAAGAGAACTACTACTCTGAGGTCAGCAACTGAATGTCCTGGAAGGTTAAAATGTCCCCCCACTGGTTTTTGAATGTTGTGGTTTCTTATAGCTGTAGAAAGAATAAGAGTCCAGTAGCAAGATTTGTGGCAAGGTATGAGCTTCCGTGAGTCACTGAGCTTTCATAAGCCATAAGTCTTCAGACTTATGTCCATTTATTCTTTGCATCCTCCTGGACTGAATGCTCCTGGACCAAAGTGAGACCTAGGTTTCCTGTCTCGTTACCAGTGATGATATCTCCACGCCTACTACCCCTCTGCATATCACACCTAATCCAATCAAGCCTATTGCCATTCGGCATTTGAAATCATCTTTATAAAGTTTATATCTTTGGTACCTCATGTTGCATGTTATGGCACACATGGTCCAGCCCGGCAAAGTGACATTTATGTCAGATCTGGCCCTCATAATAAATAACTTCAACACCTCTGCCCTATGAGGACCGTTATAGTTAATGGTTCCCATAGGATATAATGGAGAATTGATCAAGGGGTCTAGGGGGCTGTTCTTTTGCGGTGGAGGCACTAAGTTTGCAGCATAGCTGCTGATGCCTCTACCTCAAAAAAACAACCCTGTGTTTCAAAAAGCTTGGACCAGGGGGTGCAATTCTATGGGCCCCCAAAGAAGGTGACCCATCCTCCATTGGTTTCAATGGAGAGGGGAAAGGGCTTTAAAGGAATTGTGGTCCCTTTTAATGCCTTTGGAAAGCTGCAAGTGAACTCTGAAGGTGTTTAAAGGGCCTGGAATCCCTTTTAAATGCCTTCTCCAAGCAGCAAGTTCACCCGGAAAGCATTTAAAGGAACTGTGATACCTCTAAATGCCCATTACCTTTGGCAATTGGGCGGTCTCAAAAAATCCTGAATATTTTGGGGATTTTTCAGGACCACTAGATAGCTGAAGTTAATGGGCATTTAAAGGGATCGCAGTCCCTTTAAAACAAAATATTTTCAAGATTTTTGGGGCTCGGCTATTTTGGATAGCAGAAAAAAACCCTCAGATCCAGAGGTCATTTCGGGGGGGACGCGGGGGAACACAGTTCCCCTGGGTGAGGTGCAGGGGGCGGGGCACATGCCGAAGCCCCGCCCCCTGCTTCCGGCCGCCCCGCTTCCAGCCCTCATTCAGCAAGGAGGAGGCAGGAGAAGAGGGAGGGTAAGTTGCTTCCTCCCCACCTCTCCCCACCCCTGCCTGCCTGGGGCCAGGGAGGGCCTTGGCGGGGCTTCCTCGCACTCCCGCTGGCCTTGCAGGTCCACCGCCAGGCCCCTGATGTCAGGGGGTGTGGCATATGCTAATGAGTTATGCTAATGAGTTCCCCTAGCTCTTTTTCTATGAAATGACCCCTGCTCAGATCTATATTCAGCTGAAAAGCTATTTTTTCAGCTGGGGTATATTTGAATGTACACCCCTAGTTTGAATACAGCATGTCTGGTATAGAGCATTCTTCTGCAAATTTTACATATATTCTTGCATAACTTATTCTATGTTTTGTGCATTTTTTGGAACAGAATTAGAATTCTTTTTAGCAGAGAAAAAAAAACATACCTGCCCACAACTTTAATTTGCTTAATTCATCTGCTATGAGATTCAGTTCTCCAAGCTCTGTATGTAGTATATTGGTTCCTATCATATGCCTATTTATTTGTCTCAGGTTACAAAGCACAAGTCCCCAATTTTCCCCAAATCAGGAAGTGTGGGGGATTGTTTTGCTTCTCCAGAACCATGCCTAATAAATATGTATTGTACATGGGCCTTAATACAGTCCCTGGGAGTTTGTTCTGATTCAATCATTTCTTGATAGCTTCAAAGGAAGAAAATTGCAAGGCACTAATAGGGGTTGGGTATAAACAGCTTTCCTTTTCATTCCAAGCCTCCCAAGACAACATAGATCTGAACAGTTAAGAGGAGATAAATTTCAAGTCCTTTAGTAAGTTTTTGATCAAGTTTCCATATTGAGGTCTTTAATCAAGTATTTTCTTCAAAATCACAGCCACCTTTCTCCCCATCCAGATATTAAATGGAATTAGGTAACATGCATATTGTAGTGAACTGACGTGCTTATGTAATGTGCACATTGTAGTGGATTGACTTGCTTATGTAATAGTCTTGCATACTTTATTCTTGCATGCATTGTTAACTTTGGTGCCATGTTTTGTTCTTGATGGATAATCATCTGACATCTTTAGTCTGACATGAATTTTAAATAAATAGAATTCACAAGCAGTGGAAAAATTGGACTCTCCTAACAGTAGGTTGAGTACTGGAGACAGGGCTTGATTCCTCAAAACATTGCCATTCAAATGCGCAGATGCTCCCTCAGGGTAGGAACTTCCTTCAGAAGTTAAGACAAAATATATCCATCACTCCCCACAACCAAAGACATGGGTCCCTTTCTAATATCCCTGCTATTTTGTCTGATAGTTTAGTACTTCAGGATACCGATCACAAAGATTCCCCTCTGAGTTGCGCTTAATTTCTAGTAGGGAACCAGGGATGGAGTAGAAACTGGCTAGAGGGCTAACTGATTGACTTCTAGTGGGTTTTTAGCAATACATCCCCCGGATGTCAGTTTCTGTTCATCCTTCAGCTTCCAATACAAGGCTTCTGTTTAATATGTCCAGGGCTATTTTGGGACAGGAACGCACAGGGACGTAGTTCCGGCTGGCTCCCGAGATGGCCACGCCCAGCAGGAACTCATTAGCATAATAGACCACACCCAACAGCAGAAACTCATTAGGATTGGCTACATTAGGGGTGTGTGGCCTAACATGCAAAGGAGTTCCTGCTCCAAAAAAAGCCCTAGGTTTTGACAACAAACAAGATAAACAGAATAAGAAGCAAAAAGTGGGTGTGGCTGGATGACCACACTTCTGGTAACATGGGGGGGTGGTCTAATGGGCTACTAAGCTGTGCTGTCAGGGGTGTGGCCTAATATGCTAATGAGTTTCTGCTGTTGGGTGTGGCCTATTATGCTAATGAGTTCCTGCTGGGCTTTTTCTACAAAAAGAGCCCTGAATATGTCCCACCCTTTCCCTAATGTTAGCACTCTTTTCTGACCATGTGAGCTTGCCTGAGCCCAACTCATCCCTGCCTGTCATTCTGTCTGCTCCCTATCTCCTCCTCAAACCTACCTTCCAAGAATTTCATTAAAATTTTGCCCTTATTTCCTGGAGAGGCCACGGCCAATGTTATATTACACAGTTCCTGCCATTATGTAGGGACTATGACCAGAGGGCAGCACGGATTGCTTCGTATAAGGAAAAGAACACCACCACCACCCCAATGTTAAGAAGTATATAGATTTCTACCAGAGCAGCCCTTCAATGATATAGGCAGGAAATGTTCTCCTGCTTCCTTGCCATGGCCATGTTCTTCTGTACACAAGCTGCACAGCCATTTGTTGCAACTGGTACACAGACTGTGTGCAGGCCTCTTCTCTTTACATCCAGAGCAGCTCTGTTTTAAAAAAGAAAGAAAGAAACACAGAAACAAAATAAATTTGCGATGCCTGAGATGTAGAGCCATCTGGACTGAATGCAAATCCTGAAGGTGTTATTTGTTAGGATGACACTTCACTCAGAGTGTCACATGTTGCTATGTGTTACAGTGCCATAAACCCGGCCTTGTTAGCATGAGCAATAGATCACTCAGTAAAAATCTGAGGAATGCGTCACTATGGTGACTTAATCCTGTTCCGATAAGCATGGCATAAGAGAAAACACTTTTACCAAGTACAGTTTTATCACACAGTGTCATCCTAAGCAGATCCAGTTGGTCAGTCGTGCTGGTCTGAAGCTGTACAACAAATGGCACCTTTAAGACCAACGAAGGTTTATTCAAGGTATGAGCTTTTGTGCGCACACGAAACGTTAACTCATAATGTTACTGAGTTCAACATTTGTATAAATAGGGAGTTGCCCAAAAAGACTGACACAACCACTTTTAACTTTAAAAGGGTTAACTTCTCTGATATGAGGGCGCATGTGAGGAGGAAACTGAAAGAGAAAGTAGAAAGGGTCAAAACCATTGGGGAAGCTTGGAGACTATTTAAAACTACAATCCTAGAAGCTCAGAAAAAATATATACCGCAGGTTAGGAAAGGCACAAATAGGTATAGAAAAAAGCCTGCATGGTTAACAAAAAAAAATTAATGGAAGCTGTAAAAGCTAAGAAGGATTCCTTTAAGCGGTGGAAAGCTAGTCTCAGCGAGGCTGATAAAAGGGAACACAGGCTGTGGCAAATAAAATGCAAGTCTGTGATCAGGCAGGCAAAAGGGGAATATGAGGAGCATATAGCAAAAAAAAAAATTAAAAAACCAACAATAAAACTTTCTTAAAATACATTAGGAGCAGGAAACCAGCCAGGGAGGCACTGGGGGCCTTGGATGACCAAGGGGTAAAAGGAGTACTGAAGGATGATAGGGAAATGGCTGAGAAGCTGAATGCATTTTTTGCCTCTGTCTTCACTGTGGAAGATGAGAAGTGCTTGCCCACTCCAGAACCACTGATTTCAGAAGGGGTGTTGAAAGACTGAGTCAGATAGAGGTGACGCGAGAGGAGGTCCTACGACTGATAGACAACTTAAAAACTGATAAATCACCAGGCCTGGATGGCATACATCTGAGAGTTCTGAAAGAACTCAAATGTGAACTTGTGGATCTCCTGACCAAAAGATGTAATCTTTCAGTAAAGTCTGCCTCCATTCCTGAGGACTGGAAGGTAGCTAATGTCACTCCCATCTTTAAAAAGGGTTCCAGAGGAGATCCAGGAAATTACAGGCCAGTCGGTCTGACGTCAATACCGGGTAAGTTGGTGGAAACTGTTACAGAGGAAAGAATTAGTAGGCACATTGATGAACAAAAACTATTGAGACAGACTCAGCATGGGTTCTGTAAGGGAAGATCTGTCTCACTACCCTGTTAGTGTTCTTTGAGGGAGTGAACAAACATGTGGACAAGGGAGACCCAATAGATGTTGTTTACTTTGACTTCCAGAATGCTTTTGATAAAGTTCCTCATCAAAGGCTCCTAACTAACCTCAATAGTCGTAAGATAAAAGAACAAGTCCTTTTGTGGATCAGAAACTGGCTAATTAATAGGAAACAGAGAGTGAGTATAAATGGGCAATTTTCTCAGTGGAGGGTGGCAAGCAGTTGGGTACCACAGTGATAAGTACTCAGTCCAATGCTTTTTAACTTGTTCATTACTGATTTGGCATTGGGAGTAAGCAGTGAAGTGACTAAATTTGAGGATGACGAGTTGTTCAGGGTATCAACATGGCAAATGGGGTTCAATGTGACCAGGTGTCATTTTGTAGAAAAAGAGGTGCAGGAGCTCATTAGCATAATTCATTAGCATAACTTATTTGCGTATGCCACACACCCTAACATCACCGGAAGTGTGTCAGAAGGCAACACCCACCACTCAGGCGCCCCTGGACTGTTTTGGATTGCTAGCTATTGGGGGGGGGGGGGAATGTGCAGATCTGTCCTTGCAGAGGAGGGAGAGCTTGTACCTGAATAAAACTTGGTCTTAAAGGTGCCACTGGACTGTTTTGGACCGATGGGCCGGGGAAAACTCTGCAACTTACCTGGCTGTTTCTTGTTCTGACTGAGGGCTGCTGGGAGCAGGGGGTGGGGCTTGTTGCATGTGCCCGCCCCCTGGGCTCTTTACTGCCGGAGCTCCGCTCCTGTGCACTCCTGCAGGAAATGACCCCTGAATGTGGCCAAGTGCAAAGTGATGCACATTGGAGCCAAAAATCCTAACTATAAATACAAGTTGATGGGGTCTGAACTGGCAGAGACTGACCAAGAGAGAGATCTTGGAGTCGTAGTAGATAACTGAATGAAAATGTTCAGAAAGTGTGCGACTGCAATAAAAAAGCCAACGCTATCCTGGGGATTATTAGGAAGGGAATTGAAAACAAATCAGCCAGTATAATAATGCCCCAGGTATAAATCAATGGTGCGACCTTGTTTGGAGTACTGTGTACAGTTCTGGTCACCACATCTGAAAAAGGATATTATAGCATTGGGAAAAGTGCAGAAAAGGGCAACTAGAATGATAAAAGGGTTGGAACACTTTCCCTATGAAGAAAGGTTAAAGCCCTTGGGGCTCTTTAGCTTGGAGAAACAACAGCTGAGGGGTGACACGATCGAGGTTTATAAGATTATGCATGTGATAGAGCAGGTCAAGAAAAAAGTACTTTTCTCCCTTTCTTGCAATACAAGAACTCATGTATTGAAATTGCATGAAATTGCTGAGCAGTCGGGTTAGAACAGATAAAAGAAAGTACTTCTTCATCCAAAGAGTGATTAACACATGGAATTCACTGCCACAGGAGGTATGCGCCCAGGCTTTCAGGCAGTCCTCTTTTATTAGTCAGCTTTTTCCCTTGCCAAACCTATATCCCAAAGAGACCTTTAAATAAATCCCTTACATGCCTTCCTCTTTTTCCTAGTCTTGTCTACAGATCAGTGTACAGACTGAGTACTACCAGGGAAACCATCTCCTTTCATGTGGGGAAGCTTGAAAGAGTATTTCGATACTCTAGAGATGCCCACTTTGAAAACTATTCTACTAGCATAATATGGGTTCAATGCATTGTCAAACCTTTTTTTTCTAACCATAGTTTGCACCGCAAGCCATGGTTTGAGCTTCCAAACATAAAGAAAAACTGTGCATTAAGAACTACATTTGCAATTTCATTTTTCATCTGCTCAGCCCTCTCGGTTGTATAATGTCGGGGACTCTGGGGGCAAAGCAACAACCATTAGCTGTGACCAGTCAATTCAGACATCATTCCAAACCATAATTAATAAAAGCTGCAGTTGTGGACCTTTGGCTGCAATCTGCGGACATTTAGATGTTTCATCTTCTGCCTACTGATCCTCACTTTGATCCAGAATTCTCTATACCCAAAACACCTACATGCTTGATTATGGTCCAAAGTTTTTTAAAAAATTCAATCACTCTACTATTTTGGGGCAGGAACGCACAGGAACGGAGTTCCGGCTGGCTTCCAAGTGGCCACGCCTAGCAGGAACTCATTAGCATAATAGGCCACACCCAACAGCAGAAACTCATTAGGATTGGCTACATTAGGGGTGTGTGGCCTAACATGCAAAGGAGTTCCTGCTACAAAAAAGCCCTGGGTTTGGACAACAAACAAGGTAAGCAGAATAAGAAGCAAAAGGTGGGTGTGGCTGGATGAGCACACTTCTGGTAACATGGGAGTGTGGCCTAATGTGCCAACGAGCTGTGCTGTCATGGGTGTGGCCTAATATGCTAATGAGTTTCTGCTTTGGGGTGTGGCCTATTATGCTAATGAGTTCCTGCTGGGCTTTATCTACAAAAAGGGGCGGATTAAGGCTCACCGGTGCCCTAAGCACTGACCAATCTTGGTGCCCCCCTCCATTCCACACTGACCCAGTCCATTTTAGTCCTTGACCTATCTGACCAGATATACAATGCAGGTTGCAGCAATACAAAAATGTATTCATAGGATAACACAATATGCTGTACAGACTAAGCTTTTCACCCTTTTCCCAACTTTGTGGTGCCCCCTTTGGCCCTGGTGCCCTTAGCACCTGCTTAGTCCGCTTCATGGTTAATCTGCCCCTGACCATAGCTTATTCAAGGTACCAATAAAGGGCCATAACATGAAGGGACCTGCTGAGGAACCCGTTTTCTAGATAACCCCACTTGCTTCATTTCTCTTTTACTCTTATCCAGTCTGCACCCCAAGCTCTGTCACAGCATTTGCATTGCTTTTCCTACAGATACCAATACTTTAGAGACTACAGTATCAAAGAACAGGAAACAGTTACCATAAAACAAACTCCTTATGCCCAAAATTCTGGTCTGGCTATATTAACGAACACCCAAAGATCATTTTGGTTGTCAGTTTCCTCAGTTATGGCAGTAGCAAAATTCCAAGGAAAGTAGAAGAACCCTCCTTATCACTCCCACTCCCCAGGGCTAGCACCTCCTTTTTTTTCTAGGGCCTTCTAAACTTGTCTTTGTACTGCACTTGGTAATAATAGTAGTAGTAAAACCAGGGGTCATTTCCTGCGAGAGCGCACAGGAGCGGAGCTCCGGCAGTAAGGAGCCCAGGGGGTCGGGCACATGCAACAAGCCCCGCCCCCTTCTCCCAGCAGCCCTCAGTCAGGCCACGAGGAGCAAGAAGTAGCCAGGTAAGTTGCAAAGCCCCCCCGCAGCCCACCTTCAGGGGCAGATCTACACATTCCCCCCCACCCCCAATAGCTAGCAATCCAAAACAGTCCAGTGGAGCCTGAGCGGTGGGTGTTGCCTTCTGACACACTTCCAGTGATGTCAGGGGGCATGGCATATGCAAATAAGTTATGCTAATGAGCTCCTGCACCTCTTTTTCTACGAAATGACCCCTGAGCAAAACTAGACATACATCAAATAAGAGGTAACTATCAGCAGCGCTGGC